TGTCCAGAGACATTCGGACAAGAAACAGTGAGGCCAAAACTCCTAATATAATTTTTAAGTTGTACAATCCAAGGTATCTAAGGTCTCTAACTGAGATTAAGTCTGTTCTATCAGATATAATTTTGGGAGTCTATCACTTTCCATAGAATTAATTATATGTCCTAATTTTTGATTCCACCAATAATTATATGTCCTAATTTTTGACAGAGAACATACATACATACATACATACATACATACATTCCCCAACTCAGCTCTAAGTGCAACAGCTGGGGTTCTTTTATCCATACCCAAAATACTCCTCAGATGCTGAAATTGTGTTTGCTGTAATAATATTATGTGTTTTAAACTGCATACATCAGCTCCATATATGAACGTTAAGAGTAACTTTGCTTTTATACAGTTTAATAATTGGGACTAAGGAACTGGACAACAGTAATTTATTAAGTTTAATAGCAAATTCATATGCATTCTTATTCTGAGCAAGCTCCTTCGATTGTAAGGAAGCCAAGACCTAGTCTCAGAGAAGACTATCCTTAAATAAGGAAAAGTGTTAACTTGCTTTTATATCATCATCTAACAGCCATCTGAGACTGTGATGTCTTTTTCCAAAGACCACAACCTTTGACGTCGATTTATTAATAATCAAAACATTATCATGATAGTAGGAACCAGGTCTTCTCAGCAATCTAAGCAACCCAACTTGTGATTATGATATTAAAATCATATTATCAGCATATAGCTAAGTATTGTAATGCATGTTGAGTACCTTGGGCATATACTGTATATTTCAGGATCCTACATAGATTTAATCCCTATCGATTAAATAACACCAGTGCAAGTATGTACCTCATCTTACTCCTTGTAAGTATTGATCCTACTTGACATGGACCTATTGACCCCAAACTGCACTCTCAAGGAGGTATCTGTTTAAAGGCTTTGATGAATGCAAGCAGTCTGGGTTCCATACTGAAGATGTCATGGCCAGCTCAGATGGATGAGGAAACCAAGCAGCTGGTCCCAGAATTACCAGGCAAACCACCGCCTGACCAACAGCAGGCAGAGGAGAATGTGCTGCCTGGTACTCCGGAGTCACAGGTGCCACCAGTCTCGGAAGATGAGGAGGCTGAGCTGCCACCCCCTCCCAACGCAAGGGCTCCCCGTGCAGAGAGGAGAGCTGAGCGAAGGTTCTCTGTGAGGCTCCTCGCAAGAAAGGAACCTCGCCTTTCCAAATGAGCAACACTGGGGTTGCTTCTAGAGTAGCAAGCTCAAGCCCCTCATCTTCCGAGTAACAACTGTTCGCTAACCTAGACTCCATGTGCCTTGCCTTTTGACCTGAAACTTTGTGACCATGGCTCTGAACGTAGACCGGCTGACGACCCTGCTATGATGATTGGACCTGTGGACTACACCTGACTATTCCTGCCTGCTGTATTGGATTTGGACTCTCTCTCAAGGCAAACTTGGTGGATTTGTGGGGACTTGATTTCTTGTGTGTGTGTGTGTGTGTGTGTGTGTGTGTGCACCTTTCCTTTGCCACTTTTTCTTTTCCTTTATCCTGCCTTATTAATATAAATGGTTAAATAATTTTACCGTATATTTTATACCTTATAAACGGCTGCTATTACATAGGAAAAATAATTAAGTAACAACTCACTAAGGCATTTTATCATAATGCTCTGGCCAACTATAATTTCAAGTTTTGTCACTTTGAACTTTGTCTCTTTTCAGTGCTTCTTCTTTTCACTATTCTAATATCATGCAATCAAACTACTTACCTTTTTTTCTGCTAAAAGCACGATTCATGTTGAGAAATCATCCACTGTGCATATGATTTAAACTAAAAAATAAAACAAAACAATATGTATATATATATATACA